AGGAAGGGAGGGAAAGAGAGAAAGAGAGAGAGCTGCATTCTGGCCCATCAAGCCCCAAGGATGCCATTCCTGCTTAGCAGTCAAGGCACAGAGAGGACCATAGGGCCAGCCCCATCGTGAGACAGGACCTCCCCTCACTGACCCACAGCGCTGCAGGGCACAGCACTGGAGACCCAGTGCAGGAGTTGTGCCCGGTCTGACACCACCACCCCACCCCACCACCCCTACTGGGGTGAAACACGAAGGGAGAGCAACAGAGCAGCAAGGGGAGCAAAGAAATGAAGTCCCCGAGGAATCCCGAAAATAGAGTTCAGAGGGCAGGGTTTGCCACCTCATCAGATTCAATCAGAAAACATACATAAAGGTCAGCAGACAGACCTGGAACTATTTATAGACCCTCTTTTCTTCTTTTCCCCATGTTTATCTGTATCTATATCTGTCTATAGATAAGATAAACAATCCCAAGGAGAAAACAAACAGGACTGATGCTTCCAAGGGGGACGCGGGAGAGGGGGAGGTGGGGAAAACGAGCGCGGAGCCAACAAACCCAGGGACAAGGGAAGAACAAGAGATCTAAAATTAACAGCGAGGAGGGTGTAGCACGCCTGGTGGGTTTGATCATGTGCAATATAGCCGAGAGGAATTACTGAGAGTCGAATGGTTGAACATGATAGTGGGAAAGAAGGAAAGTAAAAGAATATAGAGGAAAGAACTAGGAGGCAAAAGACATTTATAGAGGTCTAAATACAGGCATGTACATATGTAACTATATTAATACATAACAATAGGGATATAGGTCTATGTTCATATATATTAAGTATCAAGGTAGCAGATGGACATTGGGCCTCAAGTGCTTCCTCAACGCAAGAACACTTTGTTCTAATAACCTGCTCACTTTACACCCTGAAGTAAAAATGGGTGCATAGAAGCAAATGTGGTGAAGAAAGTTGATGGTGCATGGCTATTAGAATATATAGCATCTGGGATCTTATAGGCTTGAAGTTAAAACAAGTGGCCATCTAGCAGGGAAGCAGTAAAGCCCACATAAAAGAAGCACACCAGCCTGTGTGATCACAAGGTGTTGACAGGATCAGGTTTCAGAAGACCCAAAACAATCATATCAATGACGGGGGGTCGGAGTGGAGTCCCAAAGCCCATCTGTTGACCATTGGACATCCCCTCACAGAAGGGTCACAAGGAAGGGACTAGCCAGCCAGGAGCAGTATAGCACTGAAGAAACACACAACATTCCTCTAGTTCCTTAATGCTTCCTCCCCTGCCACGCCCACTATCATTACCCCAGTTCTACCTTACAAATATGGCTAGACTGGAACATGTACACTGGTACAGATAAGAGCTCAACACAGGGAATCCAGGACAGATAAAACCCTCAGGAATAGTAGTGGGAATAGCTATACCACGAGTGTAGGGGGAAGGTAGAGGGAAAAGAGGGGGGGGGAGGGGAAGCCGATCATAATGATCAATATATAACACTCCCTCCCCCAGGGGGACAAACCACAGAAACGTGGGTGAAGGGAGACAGTGGCCGATATGTAAGATATGAAAATAATAATAATTTATAATTTATCAAGGGCTCACAAGGGAGGGAGGATGGGGGAGGGAGGGAAAAAAGAGGAGCTGATACCCAGGGCTCAAGCAGAAAGTGTTTTGAAAATGATGATGGCAACATCTGTACAAATGTAATTGATAAAATTGATGTATGGATTGTTGTAAGAGCTGTAAGAGCCCCCAATAGAATGATTTATATTAAAAAGGAGGGACTGGGAAGAGAGAAAATGGTGACTGGCAGTGTAGACAACTTTTGGATGGAGTTTTACTCAAAAGATGGGTGGGTGGGTGAAGGGAGACATCAGACGGTGTAAGACATGACAAAATAATAATTTATAAATTATCAAGGGTTCGTGAGGGAGGGGGGAGCAGGAGGGAGGGGGGAAAATGAGGAGCTGATGCCAGGGGCTTGGGTGGAGAGTAAATGTTTTGAGAATGAGGGCAACGAATGTACAAATGTGCTTTACACAATTGATGTATGTAAGGATTATGATGAGTTGTATGAGCCCCCAATAAAATGATTTTTTTTAAAAAGAAGATGATGGGGGTTGGGGAAGAGACGGAATTAGAGCAGAAGCTATTGGGACATGTGGTGTTTAATGAATCAAACTAGAAAACAGGAAGAAAATCTTCCATTAAAGAGTTCATTAAAGTTGATCAGATGAAAAAACAAAACTGAGAGGACTTGGCAAGCCCACACAGAATTCCCACCTTCTAAGTGGAAAACTAGGGCTTGATTTCCAGCCAGAGCACCTCCTGCATAGGTGCCGCCCATCTGTCAGTGCAGGCTTGCATGTTGCTATGGTGTCAAACAGGTCTTAGAGTTTCCAGACTAAGATCCAAAAAAAATCCAACCAACTGCGCCATCAAGTCGATTCTGATTCATAGCGACCTTGTGGGATGGGGTAGCCCCTGCAGGTTTTCTGAGACTGTCTATCTTTATGGGGATAGAAAGCTTCAACTTTCTCCCGCAACAGGGTCAGTGGTTTTGAACTGCTGGCCTTGCGGTTAGTAGCCCAATTAGACTCTGCCGCAGACCCAAATATGAGCATTTATTTGTAGAAAAGCACCTGTGAGATTGAGTTGAGATGACCTCCCCACCTTTCTCACAGGCCATTTCTGTTGCAAATAATGACCCATGCCCCAGCAGAGGCTCTTTAAACCTACGTACTTGGTAGGCATTTTCTCAATAAAGAAATCGTGTCTGTCACTTCTAATAAACCACCGGCAGTTTTTATTACCATGACAAAAAAGCATGTTACTTTGCGGAAATTAGGAATATGGAGAAACTTTCCTCCCACCAGTTTCTCTTCAGATGAGACAGATGGTAACAAATGGGAACTTTTTGATAGTGTAAGGTCAAATGCCAGCATTTAGAAGTAATGCATGACTTGGTGAACCAACATCTTCCAAATGATGATACATAATTATGCACGGTTAAAGATCCATTATAAATACCAGAGTGCCTAATTTTAATATTATAATAGTACAAAAAGTTTATTGATAAGTCAATCTTCATTGTAACACATCGTAAGAAACGATCATTTGTCAAGTTTGGGTGTTGCATCAAAGAATACTCAAATATCTGGAATGGTATTAAAAAGCTTCTTTCTCTTTAACCCAGAACTATCCCTTGGAGTTTTTGTAAAATCAGTTTAACTAGTAAAGACTGTCTCCCTGAGAATGATGCTATTTTACAACTGCTCTACACAGGATCCAATTGACAACAGGGATTTGAAAGATTATATATAGAAATCTCAAGGAGCAATGAGTTAAATTGGAGGGTGCAAAGCAGTTGTACAACTAGAAGACTATGATCAGTATTGTTAAAAGGTGTACATGTAGAAATTATTAGTGTTGTTTGTGTGAATAATTAGTATTGCTATAATTAGTATCGCTGAATTGTACATCTAGAAACTATTAGTGTTATGTTTTACTGTGTATATACGCAAGCAAATAAAGTTAGAAAATTTTCCTTTTGTTTTTTTTAAAAGGCTTTGTTAGGAAAAATGGTCTGATTTACTTTTGAAAACCAGCCAATGAAAAGTCTTCATGAACCACAAGGTTCTGACCTGTAACTGATCACAGGGCTGATGCAGGGTCACCTTGTGCTGCCTTCTGCTGTGCTTGGAATCATCATGCATTAACTTGGAGCCCTGGTGGTATAGTGGTTACAAGTTGGGCTGTGATCTGCATGGTCAACAGTTCAAAACCACCAGCAGCTCCATAGGAGAAAGTCTGGGCTTTCTACTCCTAAAACAATCTGGAAACTCACTGGGTCACTATGAGTCAGCGCTGACCTAATGGCATTTAAAGGTTATCCAAACACCTTTTTGCTTTTATAAATGAAGTCTCTCAAGTTTTTGCACTAGTGCTCTTGATCTATTTCCTAATAATTTATTTCAGACCAACCATTGGCCCTACTAGGTTTGGGCACTAGAGAAATAAACTCTTCTCTGCCTTGAAGGAGTTACGGCCTTAGTGGTATGGCACGGGGTTGGGGAAAAGATAGTGCGCACTCATAAAACAGTATTAGGGGCATGAGCCTTGAAAGACACACTAACCAGCCCACAAGTGGGGGAAGGGAAAACGTACCAAGCCACTGGAGGGTGAAACATCCACGTGGACAAGTGATGTTTAATGGGGGAGTGGGTTGGTGTGGGATGATGATGAACTTGATGTATCCAGGAGGTAGTGGAGAGCAGAGAGGTTGGAACTGGTTTGGGAGTTTTCAGTGCTTATGCGGCAGTTCAGCCGTTGGCCATAGTTGCAGAGGTGGAGAGGTAAGCCAGGCTGGGTGGGAAATAATGAGAGTTCACCATCTATCGGATGTCTAGCATAAAATCCATCGGTACACTTAACGACAAAGCACCTTCGAGTTGTAAACTCCAATACAACTGATCGTTTAAACATAGGAATTTGTCGATATAGTTTATACTAAGATGTCTGCGGGGTGGGTGCTAGGGGGTACAGTCTGTAGGCCACCTGACTTTCTTGTATTTCAAACGAGGGGACTTCAAAGAGTTCATGGGAAAATGGAATAAAAGGTTTTCCACAAAGCCCCTTGTGTGCCATTTTTCAAGTATGTCACATTTTGGACACTGAATTTTTACCCAAGGCACCCAGTGCAGGTAATCGGGCCCACCAAGCTTAATAATCCAGGGTTCTTGAGAGTATGTATCAAACCGTAACCATAACCAGTCTCCATTCACAATGAAGTCAATGTCAAACCGCTGTTCAAGGGTTTCCAGTTTAAGTATCACCACGTGTGAGGAAGCTGAATGCTAGTTAGACACCAGTGAAATCAGTACTTTGTGTGTGAGCCTACATAGGACTCAGCAGTGTCTAACTTAAGTAAATGCATCCAATAACCAGGTTCCTGCATTATACAACAGGGTAGACAAGTGAAATCAAAAATATCAAAAATGACATTGTGATTAGTACCTCGTTTATTAGCTGGTTTAATAAAGTAAAAGCTTATCATGAAAATAATGGTAGAAATAGCTTTCTAAAAGTTTTTGGGATATGCTTACAAAATGCCAGATTCGGGGGGAGAACATCCTGAACAATGACGATGCAAGGACGAGTGGCAGGGCACTGTGGACAGGTTGGCTGTGTGAAGTCGTGTTGGCTTCCTGAGGCCATGGGGCGTCTGCTTCAAAATTGTCCCAGGACAGCTTCTAAATACCACAGGTCGTAAGTTTAATAACACAAAGATTTCAGTTTGTCAGCTATTTGAACGGTTCTGAGTTCCTTTGGCTACGATGACATTCATTCCTGTACCACTTGTCCTTTTGGATGTCTCTTTACTCTCGAGTATGGACTGATTGTATTATCCATCACAAAATCATACAATACTTTGATCCAGGAATGATAGTGGGGCAATTTGTCATAATATTCAGCGGCGATTTTTCTCACCTAGAAGGGAAAAAGTACAGGAAGACGAGTTAACAGTTGGTACAAAGTCCTGTTAAAGACAGAGAGAATGTTCCACATACACACTCCCCAAGGAGATAGACCTTTCTCCCTCCTCAGAAAAAAAAAGAGGGGAGCGGGGTAGTTTTCTGGAATTCTGAACGAAAGACAGCAGCATTTCCATAGTTAAACACATTTGATCTAGGATTACTATGAAGCTCTGACAGTCTGGTTTGCAAAATTTGGCACATGGATTCTATAACAAGTGCATGCAACTCAATTCATTCGGTAATTTTAGGGGCATACCATGTGAGTTGCATTGTACAATATAAAAGTAACACTGGCTCCGTTTTTAAGGAACTTACTAATAAGGCATTCTGGAGTGCACTTATCAAGTGCGTGAATCTGTCATCCAAAGGGGCAATAATTTGGGGCACAAAGTTCTTCCATAAGGAGCTGCAAGTCAACACTGTGCACTTCAAGTACAGCCACTACCTGTCTGCCAGTGGTGGTGCCGGGGTTGAGTTGGGCTGTGATCCTCCAAGTTAGCAGTTTGAAACCACCAGCTGCTCCTGGGGAGAAAGGCTTTTTACTCCTGTGAAGAGTTACGTCTTGGAAACTCACGGGGGCAGTTCCTTCATCATTGACATGATGGCAGTGATTTAAAAAAATTTTTTAAATATGTCAGTGGAGATTTATGTGTTGCTATAATGCTGACAAATTTCAGAGGAACTTTCAGACTAAGATGGGTTAGGAAGAAAGGTGTGGCAATCGACTTCAAAAGACCAGCCAATGAAAACGTATGGCTCACATGACCCAATCCTATTGGGAGTCACCATGAGCAGAGAGGCTCAATAGCAGCTAACTGCAAAAAGACCCCACAAAAAAAAATACACTGCATCATAATCCACAGTGGATTGATTGTCAAAGCCAGCAAAAATTTGTTTTCCTTAAAAACTAAATTAGAGAAGACACTATCTTTCAGAAAAAGTAAATGTCAGGGCCAATTCAGATCCCGAATAAATCTTTTGAGTCATGGCCCTCAGTCTAAAAAAAAACAAAAAACAAACCAAAATAAATAAATTATAATGGAAAACCAAGCAAGAGCTTGTAATTTACACTCACTGCCATCAAGTCGATGCAGACTCACAGCGACCCTGCAGGGCAGGGTAAAACGGCCCCTACGGGTTCCCGAGGCTGTAACTCTTTACAGAGGAGAAAGCCCTGTTTTCTCCTTCGGAGTGCCTGATGGTTTGAAATGCTGACCTTGTGTACGATCGTAGCCCAAAGCATAACCACTACGCCACCAGTGCTCCTGATAGGCTCTTCAAAAGGCCTAAGGCCAACAGTGAATACACTTCTTAGTACAAGGAGTAGGAAAATTTGGGGAATGAGTTCGCCAAGTGTCCAGCTTGATTCACATATTGACAATAAGCACTTAGGTTGTCTTGCTGCCTAAGTTAGCCGCTTTTCTGTGTACACAACGAAAAACATGCACTCTGAAGGGTCGATGAACAGCAGAGCTCAATTCTAAAAAGCGTATTAAATTGAAAACCTTATTGTAGTCAGAATGTTCTATAAACTCGGTTCTGGCAACCTTTGTACAATCCAGTGGATATATTAAAACCCACCACTTTAAGGGGGTGGATTCTATCTTAAACCAAACTCACTGCCATTGAATCAATGCCAACTCACAGTGACCCTACAGGCCAGGGTAGAACTGCTCCTGTGAGTTTCCGAGACTATAACTTGAGCCTCCTCTTTCTCCTGAGCAGCAGCCGAGGGTTTCAAACCTTTGACCTTGTGGTTAGCGCCCAACTCTTAATCAGACTACCACCAGTACTATTAAAACTAAAACCTTTCTACTGCACACCTATTAACTAACTTAATCCCATGTATACTGATGACAATGGTACAGGCCACTCTTGGCAGGGACTAGAAATGGCAGGAGAGGGACTGCTAGCACAGGACGCTGAGGCTGCCGGTTAGGCAGATGAGTTGACAAGAGAGGCAGCAGAGTGGGAAATGAGGAGTCAGTCATGTCTGAACTGAACGGAGTTTTCATCTATGGAATGTTCCAAGAAAATGGGCAGATGGCTCATGCTGGCAAAAATGATTTGGTTCAACGAGTGATTGACTTTCTCTTTACACAACAACATTAAAATGCCGCTTCCCTATTTAAGAAGGCAAGACCTCACCCTGACTGCTCACTGACAACCACAGAGCAAAATGATAGCTGTGTGCTGCCATCATGCTGTGTGGGGGGACAGCTGCCCAGACATTTTATTCTGAAATTTTTAAAGAAAAGTCCAGAGTAGATAAACGAGTGCCCATCTGCCCTGCATTTATGTTCACGAATAACCTAGAAACACCCCCCATGGCCCGTTTGCTCTGCTGATATGTGCCGGTTTCACCCTTAAATATTTCAACATGGACCTCTAACAGACACAATATCATGTAATCGGAAACCATCTAGCAGAGTTTGCACCGGCCCATGATGTCCCTTCTAACCCATTTCTGTACTCAATGGAGGATGCAGTCAAGAATCTCAAGTCATATTTAGTTGTCTTGCTGTGGGAGGTATGCATGTATTTAAACAGCCAGCATTTAAAAACTCGAGGGAGCCAACAGACTGGAACTGGGGGGTGTGAGAGCGTAAGATAGCGGACTACAATTCCTTACATTAAAGCTGCAACTATTAGGAACTAGTGTGATATTCCACCCTAGTTATTCCTCCATCTAAAACTATGGGTGCATTTTTTTCATCACAGAACTGCAAAAGCTACCCAGTGTGTCGATGGGAAGGCGGAGAGAACTTGCTGGGGAGATAAAGTTAAGAAAGTGATCATTCTGGAAAGGGTGAAAGATGAGGGTCAAAATGTTCCCTTCCTTTACTCTACAGGCAGTACACTCAACGTCTGCAGTTAGAAGTAGCCTCAGCCGTCCCTGACCACAGCTAGTTTGTAGTACTGGAAATTGATTAGTGATGTAGGACATCTGTATTTCATTTAAAAAGCCACCATCTGAGACTCAGCAAGGCCTGTTCAGATTAACAGTGATGAAGGGACACAACCGGAGGATTGCGCTTTCCATTCATGATTAGCTTTATAAGTCCACCGTCTATAGCTCTTTGGACATTTTTTGACCTAAGTGTAACCACTAGGCCAGGAGAGCAAACCCTTTGTGAATTCAGTGGTGAAACACCAACATCCATTCGCTAGCCACTCTTCTGATGTGGGACCGAGACTGGATAGCTGGCCTAGATTCCTTGGGAAATAAGCAAGTCAACACTCATTTTAGTCGTATGGCTACTGGAACTTAGGGTCAAAGTACTAAACTGTTGACTTACTAGTGGAAGGCTTTTGCCAGGAATGTTGGGGAAGTCATGATGTTCGTTGTGATAACCCACATTGAAGGTCAGCAAATTCAGAGGCCCGTAATATGAGTATGTTTCATGTCCCTTTAAGAACATGTAATGTTCGGCTATGAAATGTCCAGAAATTGGGTGCAAGCCCAGACCAAATATGGTGGCTGCCAACACGTAGACCAGAGATTTAACTCCAAAAAAGTAGTAAATGGCAATGTTGAAACTAATCTGGGCTACCACATTGATCATCTCCAGATAAGAAATAGGCTTGGGGTTGATGAACAGAGGCCGGAGAGCATAAAAGAGAGGCTGAAGAATAACCCATATGAACTTTCGGAATGTGGTACAGAAAAACCAGCCCTCAAAATCAGTAGGGATGTCCACATCGATGCCATCGCCTCCGAGGTAGCGATGATGGTCCATATGGTACCTCTTGAAAGAAATGGAATATGGAACGCCAATAGGAAAATTCGCAAACATCCCAAACCAGCGATTCCACATAGCTTTGCAGTTGCCAAAGGCACTATTATGGGAAATCTCATGAATTGCCAAAGTCATCGAGTGGTTAAGGCAGCTGCCTACAGCATATGCCCAGAACATGACCCATTTCCAGTCCAAGTCTTTCACTATGTATAATGCAATCAGCTGGGTGAAGACCATCATGGTTGTAATCCAAATCAGTCTGTAGTCAGGTTTCATCAATGATTTGATCTCAGGGTACTTCGCTGTAAAGAAAAAGAAAAACAAGTCAGGAATTCAGAAAAGTAACATTACTTCAGCAATCCTAATGAAATGGAACCCTTAAATGTCACTATTCTTTTCTTGTTCCAAATTTCTACACTTCATCTGTTAGTCTATCGCTATCAAACGTTTCTACTAAGCAAAGGGGTCTGAGTAGTAGTGTTACTAATACCAAGGAACGCTGAGAAATCCCATAGGAAAAATGGCCTGAGAAGCTAGAATTTCCACATTAGCCGGAGGGGAGGTACAAGAGTCCTAAGGTTTCACATGACCCAATTCCTTGTGTGCGCACTACATTTTTAACGGCAGTGGAAATGCACACAACAAAACACAGCCGCTCAACAATCTCAACACATATACTTCTGTGGCAATGACTACATTTGTCAGGTTGTACGAGGATCCTGTCCTTTTGTAAATGATCCCTTTGCCTAACAACTCTTCACACATAAAATAGACGTTTTTCCACTGTTGTGATCACAATGTCTCTAAAATTGCACATTCTATCCACAGGGGCTGGTCTACCCTGTCCTATATGGTTGCTAGAGTCAGTGTTGACTCAATGGCAGTGAGTACACACCTGGTAGCACAATATATTCGAGTTCATCCTGGAACAACAAGAGTTTGAACAATGTGCCTCCCCTTATACCTTGGGTTTGTTTTTGTTTTTAAAATGCTGTGTGCTACTAGTCATCTCTGCATGAGCAGTGCCAGTGAATTGTGTATCACACAAAAAAGTGACTGGCCTCTCAAGGGTCTCTTCTATTTTCGCCGTGTTCACTGCAGTCCTGTAACCCTTGAATAACACGTGGGACTCATACCAAGTGCTGCCAGTGACGCTGCAAGTCCGAAGAAGCAAAGTCCTGACACGAGGAACAAAGGCAGAATTGTTTGCTATACGCTGTAGATTGTGGCGAGAGCTGCGGTTGCCCACCATTCCCAAGATCAATGAATCTAGTGTAAGGACCAGTTTTAGAAAAGGAGATTCTGGAAGTTATGCCAGCAGGTGTGAGACCATACTTTTTAAATTTTTGCAAAATATGTTTTTATCTTATATTGAAAATGCAGCTTTCAAATGGGTGCAATATATAATACACAAAAGATACGAAACTAAAATTAAAAAAACAACCAACTTCATTGCCATGGAGTTGATGCCAACTCGTAGCGATCCTATAGGGCAGGCAGAACTGCCCCTGTGGGGTTTGGAGACTGACTCTTACCAGAGTAGGAAACCCCATCTTTCTCCCGCAGAGCAACGAGTGGTTTCACACTACTGATGGTGCACACTGCAGTCCAACGAGAAACCACCAGGGCTCCTTATAAGATACAAATTATGCACTGAGTTTAGGTTATTGGTAAGGCTTTTAGTTTGGGGGATGTCAAAAGTAGTAAGCAGATTTTTGATTACAGGTATGCATGTATGTGTGTGGGGGGGTGTTGAGGGTGGGGAGGGGCAGGGTAGGAGACAGGGAGTTGGTGCTCCTAAACCCTGAGTTGTTCAAGAGCCAACTGACTTAAGGAGCCCTAATGACAAGGTGGCTAAAGCACTGAAGGGTTCGTGGTTCCTACTACCAGCCGCACTGCTCTGCGGAAGACAGCGGCAGCAGTCTGCGTCTATAAAGACGACAGCTGTGGACAACCACGGAACTCTTCTACTCTAGGGTTGTATGCGTCAGATCAACTCAGCAGTGTGTTTGGTTGCTCCAGCTTAACTTTTAACTATTCACCCAGCCTCCTTTTTTTTTTGTTGTTGTTGTCCAGAGCTAGTGACATTTTCTTTTTTTTTTTTTCTTTTTTAACATTTTATTAGGGGCTCATACAACTGTTATCCCAATCCATACACACATCAATTGTG